TAAAAACACTCTTAACCGTTAAAAAAGGGTTGAAAAAACTGCCTGAACCCGGGATGTGGCGAGTCTGTGGATCCACCAATCTGTAGGATATGGAAAGAGTACTAAAAGATAAAAACAAAAAAGAACCAACGGGGGAAGAACAGGTGAAATCCAGCAAAAGCGCATCAAAAGGGTTTCCTAGAATGACATATGTGCAATCTCCCCTGCCTGCGTGATAAATTGACGAGAAGGGGGTTACATCAATGAACCAACATTGCTTGAAGATTGAAACAGGCTGACAACACAGATGAGCAACCGATGAAGGGTCGGTTTATTGATTTGCCAACCGCCTCAAGCGCATAGCAGATCGCTTGAGATCAACAAGATGAAGTTTCAGAAGCGCTGGCTTAGGCGATTAGCACATCCCAACTTACCGTGTTCCAAGTCTATGGAGTGAAACAAACCTCCTGCGTGTTCTCTGACATCATTTCTCCCTTTTGTTTCCCTATATTCATACATACCAACATCTATACGTCATTGTTATTGGTCGCATGTCACGATGCATTTGGTGGAGTGTGTCAAGGTTGTTTTCACCTTACTTGACCAGCTCTTGCTCAAGGGCGCTATTCACGAGAAAGCACATGGTATTCGTTGACTTGCCTGGGAAGTGAAAGCTTACTTGTGAGGTACCGGTTGCTAGATTGGCTTGATTCAGGCAACCCTCTATTGATGCTTTGGAATGGTTTGGGAATTTGAACCACAGGTTCGTGTCGAAGGTAAATGGGACACCGCCCCGGTACACCTCCAAACCACCCATCCAACACCACCAAGAGGGGAGCTGATTGATTGTATGTCGCTGACGTGCTCCTGATCACGAGCAATTCGCGCCTTCAGCACCCTCAGTTTTTGCTTGGAAGTGCTTGCAACAGCATGCACCTGCTTCCCTTGCGAAGTAGCCAAAGAAAACGCGGAACCTGACAGGCAAAAAATGAAGCAAAGGCTGGTTGATCGACAAAGGAACCTCCGACGCAACAATTCTTGAGTGGACAAAAACAGCCCTTCTGAATGAGACAGAGATTCAAGAATCATGGCAATCACGGAGGAGGCACTTGTGACTATTCCCTTGTACGAGAATTGATAGATTCTGACCAGCGGCGGCTACCAGGCAGCACCGCTCTGGAAGGAGGAACCAGAAATGCACTCCCTTCCTACAAGGTGTGTTTGCTTTCTCAAACAAATATTGATGAAGCAATGTTGCAGTGAGCAATCGGTTGGAGGTTCAAGGTGCCTCCAAAGTGAGATATGCCAAAGAGTGCTTTCCCAATAACAGCATCATAGAAAGCTACAGGAATCTCTACAGGAGGCTGGCCAAACATATCCAAACGCCAGTTGATTTGAAGTTCCTGGCTCGCCGATTCGAGGATTCCTGACGCAGGCCAGGCGGACTTCCGAGCAATGCCTTGGTGGGGGAGCTGCGGGTGTTGCTGGAGAAGCAGGACACGTCGAAAGTTCAGGGGGCAGGTGGTCTCATGACGACCCATGGCGACCCCTTTCACTGATTCTTGGAAGCTTGGTGGTCCTACCTGGCCATTTTCGTGGCCGGTTGAGACCTCCCTGGTCTCATTGTGGCGAGAGTCAGGCGTTTGTGGAACCAACCAGGAGTTTGGAGTTTGGCTTTGCGGGAGCCACCCACAAGACGAAATAAACCCCACAACAAGAAACTCCTGCCTGGCTTGTGTTTTGTTTTTGGCTTTGTCTCCATGTCAACACAGCTCCTTTCTCAACGATTGAAGGTTTCGCGTCCTTTTCTCCCTGCAAAAACAGCACTTTGGCCCACAGGGTGCGTGCGGAAAGGCCGGAATTCGGCACAGCGTGGGAACTTCAGGATTTTGTACGGATATAAGGGAGCCCTTTTTGGATGCGTTTCAAGGCAAGCCAAACAGAACAATCGTGCGGTTCGATGCCCACGCCAGGACGCTTTTGGTTTAAAGGAAAGTCAAAGGAAAACCACCCCGTTTCTCTAGGGGTAGCTCCTCCCCGTTCTTTCCAATCCTTCTTTCTAGAGAACCACCAAAAACCCTGGGGAAATGACTGGTTTTTGAAAAGAACGATGGTTGAAAAGAATGGGGGGAATCAACCGCTAGAGTTTCAACATGGGGGATCCCCTTCGATGTGTCCTGAACATGCCCCCCACCACTAGGCAGGATGGCATCTCCTGTCGAGGAGTTGCTGATGCAAAGCCTTTTGTCCCAGCAGACTGCGTGTCTTGGCTCTTTCCCGCACAGCCCGGGTGTAGAGGGTTTGTGAGGGATAGCTTCAACCGAAAAGGGCGGCGCCGCCCTTTTGATTCATTACATAGCTTTGGATACTCACTCCCTGAGTTGCTGGACTTTGAAATTTGTGGGGAAGGCAATTGTAGTGGGAAATAGATAGAGCGGACTTGTTCGTAAATCCACTGAGGAAGTGAGGATAGACCATCCTTAGCCTGTCAAGACATTTTCCTTGAAAAGGGCACATCGTTTTCACTTAGTCATGGACAAGGTGACATGGCCATGTGGGCAGTTTCTAGGTGATTTGATCCCCTCACTGACTGACATCGGAAGCCAAAAAAGGGGAGGGGTTCTAGTACTATAACAATATAAATCATTAGGATGGTAGCGGCTGGTAGCGTGCTGCTGTCTCCAGACTTCTCTTCAATTGATACTCACCAAGGGAGTCCTGATCAGCGTAGGCGAGTGCATCCAAGCCAACCCACGCCTCAAGGAACTTCTATTTCGGCAATGCCACCCCCCCTCTCCAACTCTGACACTCAGCCAGCCCCTCCCCCGGCAAGTTGCAGGCGACGTGCCTGTTTGGGTTGTCTCGACAAACATGCTTGCCGGCTGCAACGGCATTTCCGTGATACTTTGTGGTTTTGCGAAGCTGTTGCGAGTTGAGCGGGTTTTGTTGGCCGGGCCTCAGGAAGCTGACCGAAGCGGTGGATCGGGCGATCAGCGCCCAGGAGGGCTTTGGAAGACTACCCTTCCCAGAATTAGCTCCCCTTTTTGCCTTTTTGGTTTTTGGGGTCCCCTTTGTTTTCCTCTACCCAGGCAAAAAAATATATATATTTTTTGCAGGGGTCCAAAATCCAGCCTAGTACCCTCCCTCCCGCGTTGCCATGGCACCTGAGGGCCCCTGACAGAGGAAATGGATCCTCCTACCCTCCCGATGCCATAGTGGGCGGAGTCGGGGGTATGGTGTTGGGGAACCACCTCCACTTCCGTGAGGGAACCCAAAAAAGAAACCGTCGGAGGCAAATCTCCTTGAGGAATGGACCCCGTTTTGATGGCCAGCCCATGGTATCATCTTAGGAGCAACCGGAGAAGCTGAAGCCGCTCGGGGGTTCCGATGCCGCTCCTCTTGATGTGTGTGTGTGTGTGTTAAGCAGATGCCAAGTGGAGATGCCAGCGTCACGCGCTTACGCTTACGCCTGCTTTTCCTGCGCATCTATGTGTGCGTTGAAGGGTAGTATTATCTAGTTGTCATGTCAGGGTTCCCAAGCAGCCATGTTGCTTCTGTCATATGCAAGTGGAAAGTGGCACTATTCCAGTTTGTATCATGTTGTGTAATCTCTTCCCCCAATTAATAAATACGGCCCCCCCCCTATTATAAATAAATCCTCCCAAAAATATATTAATTTTTAATTGGGGTATTTGGGGTTGCGTTTTTTTGCTTTTCCAACAATGTGAGGGTTCACATCGGATTTGGAGGAAATGGATTGAATTGTAAGCTCCGTGAGTAAGCGGTTTAATAAGGAAAATTTATGTATCATTTTATTTGTTTTTCAGTTTACTGGTTGTTTGTTTGCAGCCAGGCAGGTTAGCCAGCATGTACGGGGGAGAGACAGTCGCAGCTTAAAAGTGGGGCTGGAAGCTTGCCAAAAGTGCCCCCTAATAAGGATTCCAAGACGTTAGTACTGGTTTAGTATTGGCGCAATGGAAAATCAATTGTGTGGAGTGGAAATCTGGTCCCGGGCCCCGGATTTGCATTTATTATTAATTGGGTCATTCATTAATTGGGGGAGCGGATTACCATGCTCATTTTTTCAATTTTGTGAATCTTGACAGAATCACACCAGAATCACAATGACGGTGATTCTGAGACAAGCACAAATAGGATGGGAAGCCACAAATTTAGCTAGGAAAGCCTCAAATTCAAATTAAATGGGAAGCCTCTGAAAGTGTATGGGTCGGTTGTTCGAAAAAGTGGGCCTCACATGCATTCCAGCTTGCGATCTTGTTTTTTTTCGGATTTCGCAGGAGCTGCTGCCGGTGAAAGTGGAGCTTCCGGAGCGTGTGAAAGTGGAGCTAGCGGTTGCGGAAGTGAGCCAGGCAGCGGCGAAAATGGCGATGCATTTTTCAGGGGGAGTCTGGTTGGGCACAAAAACCATGCAAAATGATGTCCACCAAAGTGTACTCAACTAGACGCCGCACACATGTTGAATCATGTTGATGTAGGGGTGGGAGGCATTGGTTGGTGCTAGCTCTCTTTCTAATTTAGTCTATTTGATGTGCTTTGCCACAAGCAAATGTTCCTGCCATTGCTGGCGTGCCAAAGAGGCGAGAACATCTGCGCAACAGCTTTGCCATGCTGGGCAAGCGAAGCGCAGCCCACTTGCCCAAAGCCTTCTGACCTTTTAGCTTCCCCTTGTTCAGAAGGTCACGGCCCCCAAAAGGTGATCCTCCCTTTTCAGGAGGGAGGATTGCGCCAGAAAATGTGGCCTGTTCCCAGGTGGAGTTGTCGCCAGAGATGGACCTGTCCGTAGACCTGTGTGACGCCAAGAAGCCGAAAAGCCGCTCGGCAGCCGAACAAGTGTTCTGTCCGTGGTGTTCGGCAGTTGCTTATCAATTAGCTGCGCCGTTTTCCACCTGGAGACTCCATGGCCCTTAAAAAATAAAAAATGGACGGTCATTACCCAAACTCATGGGTTCATGGACCCATGTTTACAGGGTCGTGGAGACTCCAGGTAGTTTTGCTGCGCCATGTTGTAGGTGCTGCAGATCATGGATAGCACGTGCAAGTTGAGATGGCTCGCATCATAGTTGTTTGTGCCAATTGTCATCTGTTCGGAACCATTTGTGCTTTAGGCGAATCTTCTATGTCTGCCTTGGACACATCTTCACGGGTTTTGTTGGTTTAGTTAGGACTCAGTCCGACGTGTTTTGGGCATACATATCCTATGGTGCGTTTGTTTTTGCTTGTTGTTTTAAACAAAAACAGCACACAGTATGACTTTCTCCAGATTCCACACTATCACCAAGGCAAGAAGAATATGTGGCCGAGCTGCAGAGAGACGCGGGAAGAGTGGCTGAGGTTTGTCTTGGGCTTTCTGTAGTTTACACAGCGAAACCCAAAGACCAATGCAAGTACCTGCCAGATCATATACCCCCAAATTGCTTCGTTGTGCTTTGCTTGGGCCCATTTAGACTGTTTTTCAGTTTGCGTTAAATGATGATACCAGAAACAGCTAGAAGTTCGAAGTTAATATGTTTGCGCAGATTTGAGCCACCAAGTTTGTTTGGGATTGGAGGAATCGGCAGTGTGTGACTTGGTGTCCCGCAACTGGGCTACAATCAAACAGGTTAAACATGTTGGTGGCAAAGCGGCGGAGGCTTGACCAGCTACATAATTTAGACGCGTCTCCCCTGTAAGAGTGTATCTTTTGTAGGGTACCCAGAAAATGGTGGTTTTCCTGATGGTTTCCCTTTAAGACCACACCAAAAAGGGGGTGCCCACTCCAAAACAAAGCGCACCCAAAGACTCGGACGCGATTGTAGGCGTCAAAGCGCCTCCAGATCAGGGGACTGGGCTGGGCCGATTTGAAAGCCCGACCTGAAGGCAGCTGTTGGATCAGGATTTCCGGAGCGAAAAGTTGGATGAGTTTGCATCAAGCTAGCACGCAGGAGTCTTAAAGGCCTTGAAAGGCTAGCCCTGTTCATACAAACGTTTATATGTAATATATATATATATAATAGAGATACGCAGACATGTATGCAGACGGATCTATACGCGTCCGCGGAAAGTGTCTGGCTCCTTTCCGGGTGCCGCTCTCAGGGTGCTCAGCGAACCCTTGGAGGAGGAGCCCAAGAGCGTGTCCCAACAGCTCCAGCACCTGCTGCATATGTGGCTTGACGGGAGAAGACCTGTCAGTATGTCAAAATGTTTGGGCTTCACCCAGAAACGGTTGGTGTGGAAAAAACCTGATGTTGATGCCCCGCTTGCGTTGTCTCTCTAAAGTCGTCGCGGAGCACGCCCTGTTGCAGTGGTGGGCGACAATCAAAGGCTTGATGAATTTCAATCTTTAAGCTGTAGAATAGCCTTTGTAGTAGCTATGGCAATAGTAGCTATATCATCGATATATAGACTTGTGTAGCGATATGGGCCATAGTAGCTTTAGGCTTTTGTGTCTTCGCTATTTGGGGCCAAAATGTATTCATTATTAGCTCGCACTGCTTCGCACGGGCCTGGGCATGTAATAATCAAACACATGCATCATGTGGTTCTTATATAGGAAGTAAGTGAACACGATCTACCTCATTTCCAGTTCTAGTTGCTTTGACCATTGGACCCGCCCTTAAAGCCCGGCTATGCTCAATCTACTTTGGCAAGTTGGGAAGCCAGACACGCACAACATCCCAGTAGTATCCATCGTTAGCCCTTACTTACCAAGGTTGAACATAGGGTTCTTGTTGGTTCCAAGCACTGGTGAGTGGGGTTAGTGGACTGATTCGTGATCGTTCCAAACACTAAAGGAACTCCCGCCTCACCCTGTTGGATCCTTGTATTCAAGCACCCTTTGCCCGGGGGGATATGTTTTTGTTTGTTTTTGGTGTTTTCCATATGAAATGGCTGTATTTGCAGACGTGCAAAAACAGGACACTTCAAGGCAAACCAACTGACTCAACACCAATCCGCAACTCAAAAACTCCAAACATGTTCAAGAATATAACATTGATGTGATCATATCTGTAGGGTATAGGATACATTATATGTGAGGTACAAAGTTCAGAAAATGGGCATCACAAACATTAAAGCAACATATAACACAAGCGTATACCATTCATCAATCAAAAGTTGAAACTGACCCTCATCCTTTGATTGAAGTTATATATCTAAAAACACGAAGGATAATAAATCATACCGATATATTAGGATTAATGAAACTATTCTCATATACTTGGTTTTCTTTTTGAAGATATGACCAACAAAGATTGCAAATACTAATACCTCAAGTGATATTGATATATCTATAGAACATTTATGTCAATATATTTAACAGCTTAAATTAAACCTTATTATTAAGAAAGACGCCACTATGGTTTTGCACAAGAAAAAAACACATGGTGCTTTAGACAGTACATTAAACAATGCTTTTCAAAATGTCTTTGGTCAAGAACTATATCCTAGCACTGAAAAACGCTTCTCAACTACTATATTGTATCATTAAAAATAATCATGGTGCAGGTCTTGCTGGGACAAAGATAGCTCAGGAACTTGATGCAAACGGCTATATGATATAATCATATGTTGATGATGATATATTTGTTAAGGAAAAACATAGATGGTAAAACTTGTCTCAACCATGCAATTACAAGAAAAACATATTATTTTCAAAAGTTGACCTTTTAGTTATAGCATTGCCAAAATCAGCTAACTCCACTTTTAAACATATGCAACCATTTAGAGACATAGTATAAGCGATTAGCGATCTCGTAATTAGAAGATGTTCTTCAAGATGAGAGTTTTATGTCACAGCTTAAGCCTGTTTCACTTTATGATTTATTTTCTAGAGACTCGAAAACTCTTGGCAAAGAATCTATTTCATACTATATTAAGGATAAACGAGTCGTTAGTACAGGGGCAGGGGGGAGTATTGGCTTTGAAATTGTTCGGGAATGAATTAAGTATGAAGCTAAGCAGGTAATCTTACTCGATCATAGTGAACTTAATTTATATCAAATTTCTGAACAATGTTCTCTTTTTAATATACGAAGTAGTTTATGTTCTGTTTGTGATTTAGCATCTTTCAAAATGTGTTTAGTGATTACTTTCCAGACGTAGTGTTTCATGCAGCAGCTTACACATATCAAAGACCACAACAAATACTATTCTGTGAACTAAACATACTATTGATTTGGCTATTGAAGCTAGTTTTGAATCATTTATTATGATTTCTACAGATAAGGCAGTCTGACCAACAAATGTTGTTTCTCAACTGTAGACATTTTCTAGATCTAGTAGTTAACATTACATGTGCATGAGGATTACCAAAAAACACTTTTGCAGAGGACATTCCTGGTATACCCTGTCATCTCTCCTAGAACTTTTTTTAAGTTGTTCTTTGGATATTTTTCCCGATTTCTCTAAGTTTTTTTCGGTTTGAGGTTTCTAAGTGGGTAGAACCAAGCATCTCTCCTCGAACTTTTTTTTGGTTTTTTTTTTGATTTCTCGAAGGTTTTTCGGTTTGAGGTTTCTAAGTGGGTAGAACCAAGCATCTCTCCCGGATTTGTTTCTTCTCTTTTTTTGTGTTTTTCCGGTTTGGGGATTCCAAGTGGGCAAATCACATGAAATCATGACAAAAGCTCTTGGCCGCAAACCAAGGGCCCAGGACGTGCCCTTCTGTTTGGTATAGTTTGGTGTTGGCTGGCGTTCCTTTGTTCCTTTTCGTTGGTTAGGAGCAAACGCCGTTTCTTCCGTGTGTTTTTTCTGCTTTTTGGGTGGTGTTGGATGGCTCGTTGGTTTTGTAGAAAAACGGCTGCCCCAAACACCTCGCTCGGCTTGCCGGAGGTGCTGCGGCTCCGTGATGGAGGCTTTGGCGGCGGTGCTGATCCTTACCAACGCGGTGCTCTTCGGCATCCAGGCGCGTCGCCGAAAAAGCGTCGCCGAGTGAAGTGGCCGGTGGGTCCCGGACCCCGCGTTTGTTTTTTTTGTTTGGTGGCTAGGTCCCCCAGCAATTGGTGCCCTTTCTCACCGTTTCGTTTTTGGTTGGGAGGGTTTCCCTACAAAAATAGACTACAGACAAAAAATCGGGTACCAACTTGTTCTAACCTCTCTGGAGGACCTAGGTGGCCTGGGCCTATGGATTTCTCTCAGCTGAGGTTTTTTGGACTCGTTGGTTTCTTTGTTGGGGCTTTGGACCGTTTTAGTGCGGTGAATGAGAATAAGTTGGAAGACTTGTCTGGCCCATCACCTCAAGTGCTCACAGGGGAAACCAATGCTCACAGGGAAACTACAGAGGGAAAGGAAATTGGAAGAACTGGGAAGTTAAGAACTGGGGTTGTTATGTAGTGTCTCTTTAGTCTGCCATGGAGGGGGGGGGTGAAGTTGATAATGGGAAACAAACCAAACAGCAGCTCTTGGATGTTCAAGTTGTTTTTGTTAGCCATGCTCGTGGGATTTGTGTCCCTTACTTGGAAGGGGGGTGAGCCGCTTAAAAAAAAAAAAAAACACCTCAAACACGTGTCCTTTTCCCATGGCCACGGGGGGTTGTTGCAAGCCTCACCTTGGGTATGCCCTACCAATGAGCGAGTCTGACCCGATCCAGCTGTTGGTCCAGTTTCCTTCGTCCTTTGTCCACTTGTGAACGAGACTTGTTTCAATGCGATAACTGTAGCCCATTTTTCAGAGTATAAATATTCTGTAGTCAGACATCCGCACAACATGATTTCTGGTGGTTTCTTTCAAGGGAAGCTGCCCAAATCAAAGCTTCAGCCGGTTTCGCGAGGCAGACCACGCAGTGAAGAACCCTGGCAGCGAGCCGACCTTCTTCGCAACTGCGGCTCAGCCAGTCGAGGAAGATCAACGGACGGGAGTTGGATCATGTGGCCAAAGGCTAAAGGATGACAATGTTATGTTCTTATCATGACGTGTTTTAAAATACTTCCAAGTATTTTGGTCCTTGTACTAGATATGTTGTTGAACTGCCCCACACGTTTCGCGGCACTAGGCAGCTCTGGGATTCTGTCAGAGGTCCCACATTTGTTTGTTGAATTGTTTGTAAGCTGAATTCAATGTATTTGACTCCAGTACCGAACCACATCAGCCACCAGAAAAACCCAGGGAGGTCAAGGTGAAGCGACACTCTCAACCACAAATGTGTGCGGCCGCCCTTTTAGATCTCTGTATTTGCTCTGGTATAGGTAGACCGCATGTCGATGGCAAGCGTGGCTTAATGGCACCATTTGGGTTAGTCTCTCTGAGGGTACCTGCTTCGAGCCAAAGGTGAACCTTGGAAGCGTCCCCATTTGGGTATGTTTTTTTTGTGGAGCCCAGTTTTGTTCGGTTTTGCACGGAACCCAACACACCCATTTTGAGACACCCCCAGGGTTTTTCCTTTAGGGCAGGCGTTCGCTTGGCTTTTGTTGAGCATCAGGATTTCCGGCTGAAAAATGCAGCGCTAGGCAAACTTCGTCTTCACTGTGCTCTTCACCCTGGAGCTCTCGGTCCGTGTATTTCGAGAAGGCGGCCACGTTGACGTGGCTACGATTTGTTCAAGAGGAGAAGGAATCTGTTTGGTCCAACTAACTCGATGGAAATGATTCTTTGTGGTTCCCCCAGCTTGGGTGGCTGGTCTGAGGTGTCTCTCTGCGAATTGTACGCTGGATGCCCAAAGCGTTGCAAGTAAACCAAACATACTAAATCACAACATCATGGTAAGCCCGTTGCAATATTTAGGACATCCTCCATAGCCGTCTGCGGATGGCAGCGGCCGTGAGTCAGGCAAGTTCCTCTTCTCTTGCTACAACCCGGACATCAAGTGGAACATCATGGATGCAATCCTCGTGGCGTTTGGCCTGTTCGACACTGCTCTGAAAAAATGGGCACTGGAAAAAGCCAGTCGCCTGAGAGTCAAGATAAGGGAGGCACCCCGGAATGCTGGGTTTGAGGAGCCTCCAAAATCGAGGAACCTGAATGGGTAGTTTCCCTTTGGCCCTTTTACCCCACAATGGCGCCCTCCAGAAAAGAAAAAAGCAATGAAACATGGATGGCCATTGGTGGCTCCAATGGGTGGGTTGCCTTGGTGTCCCATGTTGTTTGAGGGGTTTTCACTTTCGAATCGACCAACAAAGGGGCTACTGAGTACTGGGAGTTTATTGATCCCCTTTGGGAAGCACCCCAAAGAACTCAATCCCCTGTTGATGCAAAGAGAATCTGTCACTGCTGGACATATCTTTTCAGGCAAATGGAAGCCAGCCAATTTCGGGCTTTCCCCTTTTGTTTCTCTCCCAATCGCTCCCTGATAGAGGTGGCATCCCCCGTCTAGACCACAAAATCCCACCAAGGCTAGAAAAGTAAGGTTCCACGAACATAGAACGCAGGACCTAGCAAATCTTGGTCCTGGCCTTGCTTCCATGTCATACGGTCTAGACCAAAACGTATGACAGGCTGAGGACAAAGGTAGGGCCCCAGCGCACGTGGTGGACCCTCGGGAGCTCAGCTTGAAACACGTTGGGAGTTTCAGTTTTGGCAGCTTGCTGATCAGGTGCATTTTTACAGGGCAAAGCATCACATGTGCTTTCCCAATGACATTCTTGGCCGTAGGCATGACTGAAAAAAGACTCGTTGCCGTGTCACAAGATATATATATATATACATAAGGCAAAGGTCTGAGCCAAATTCTGTGACAGCTGTTCAGCAATGAGCTCTAGATATCCAGAGTCCGCATGATTCCCAACTTCAGCCTGAAATGCCACGGAGAAACCCTGGACGATCTGTGGAAAGACCTTTTAAAAAGGCGATGGTCGATGGGCATGGAAAGGCTAGAACAACGCATGGGCAATCTAGCGAGGTAACCGCGAGGTGAGCTACGCGTGGCGTATTCTGATCTGTTGCTGTGGGCTTGACTCTGCTTTCATTGACGGCACAGGTGAGGAATGACCCAAGGTGTTGGGACTGAGCTCATTCCATAAAAGGAAGCCACAAGGTATTGTTACTTTATAGGGGTCATTCCTCATTCCCTGCCTGTCGCACCAGCAAGTCATATCACTCGGCTGAAGCCTTCATGCAAAACTAAACAAAACGCGGCACAGGCAAGGTCTCGCTGAAGAACATGGTGGCGCTTATTTGCACAGCAATGCTGTCTACTGGCAGCCAACTTCCAGTTTGAAGTATTGGCGAGCTTTAGCCAGAATAAAACATAATGGGCAAACGATATCGGCATGTTAGCTTTCAAAGTACCATATTGATAAACGGGTGAAATGTCGCCTTGAAAGATTTGTGGTTGAGCTACCTCGAGCATATTTTAGACTGCCTTTGGAAGACCAGGGAACATTTTTGATCACTTGGTCAGCAGAAGTGTGACGTTTGAAGTATGTAGGGCCAGATTAGAGTTCAGCCAACATATCGTCTCGCCACCCCGCCTTCACTTTTTTGGCCTTATGCCAGGGTGTCCCGCTTTCCCATCCCCTTGGCATTTCAGGGCCGTAACGCCATGTTTTTGGGAAATCCTAAAACCTTTCTGGCCTGGTGCTTTGCGCGCTCTGCCCTTCCCCAACCAGCGATGGACATTGGAGCAAAGTTGTCAGGGATCGAGTGTGTTATTTGTTGAACCCCACAAAAGGTGGTTTCAAAAGAAAGCTAAAAGGTAAACCACACAGTGCGCTCTGTGAGCCCACTAGATACGCCATATGTGTGGGTGTGTGTGTGTCTTTTTTTAAGGGTACTTTGCGAGGTACTTTGAAAGAGAAACCAAAGGACAACCACTTTTCTCTAGGAGCGCACGGCCATAATTACTTTCGCCAACCCTCGACTTCGTGAGGAGGAGATCCTCACACGGAGCTTCTCAGTAACGAGTGCTCCCAACATGTCCTCCGCACGGATCTTGCGCGCCTCGGATCGGGCGGCGGGTCGGAGGTTGCCGGTTGGTCGTGGATCGAAAGCTCGGCATTGCGGGTTTGTTTCGAAGTAGGGGATTACAACCGAGGCTGGTTTCCTTTTGGCTTTAAGACCTACCCAAGCAGGGCACCATTGAAAACAAAGTGCTTTTGGCTTCCCTGCAAAAACCTACTCAAGCAGGGAACCATGAAAAAAACAACCTCCTTTTGGTTTTCCTTCAAAACCTGCCCAAGGGTAGCAGCAAGTGACCCAGCCACTTCGGACGTTTGGCCCCTGGAACTCCCGGAGACCTCTCTGGAGCCCTGGCGGTGGAAAAGAAGCTCAGGAGCTGGAGGTATCCAGGAGCTAAGGAGGGGAGCTGGGGAGCTCGGGAGCCAAGGAGCTTGGAAGGAGCTAACTTGCAACTTTAAAGAGGGAGCCTTTCGGAGCTAGGAGGTTCGGTCACGACATGGTTGCAGCGGCGTATCCTTGTTCGAAGCTCAAAGGGAAAAGAGCTGCTGGGCTTACTGTCATGTTGGCCTGTTCGCCTTTTTTTGGAGATGACAATGCGATCAGGAAGGCCAAGGCAGAGTTACGCATTCCAAGTGACACGTACCATTCCAATCTTCGGTTCCAGGTGCTGATTGCTCCGTAGTACTTACAGTAGGTGGAATAAAAGTCAGTAGCACAGGTATCCTGCCGCACAATACGCATCTATATCTACTAGGTGGTACTTGTGGGCAACCACGCGGTGTGCGCAAGAGTAAACATGCTTCAACAAATCCAGAGAGCAAAACACGCACACGGACACTGACTGTGCTCCGAAGATGACACAGCATACGTGTTTGCATGTTGAAAGAGCCAGGTATTGTCAGACATGCACTTGCATTTGATTGAGCGCTCGTATTTATGCTTCAGGCAGTTGTGTGTTTCTGACATGCAAGGTGATATAGTGTGTGTGTGTGTTTATATCTGACGGGCATGTCCTTTCCTGTTTCCCGGGGTCATGTATGTGCAAGTGCATGCAAAAGTATCCGGGCATCCGAGCAATGAACCATGTGGCGGTCGCGGCCTCCGCGTTCGAGCCGTATTTGTCTCCAAGCAGACACGCAAAAATGGGGGGTGGCTTCCGCGTGGCTTCAGATTTTCACCCAAGGGCACCCAAGAAGACATAGCCATTGGGAGTGCCCTAAGAGAGGAGACAACCCAAAGTGGTTGGTTTCCTTCTTGCCAGAATTTAGTAAGCCCCACCAAGACTTGCCCAACGGCTCCAAGTACTTCAGAACAAATCCCGAGACACCCCTCATCTCGCCTGACTCGGCTGATGCTTTTCGGGTCTAGGCCTGCTGCGGCTGGTGAGGGTGGCGCGTGTGCTGAGAGTCCTGCGATTCTTCTCGGACTTGCGGGTGATGATTTTGGGGGTCTTGAGCTCACTCAAAGAGCCTCGGCCAGAGAGATGTTTCGGGCGTGAGACAGACTCGGGTTCCTCACTCAACCTGTCACCATGCACCTGTATTTGAATGGGGAACCCTTTGGTGGAACCCTTTTGGTAAACATCATCTAGGTGGGGATTGATGTCCACCAACCACGCTTGAGGGGTGTCGCATCAAAATTCGTAGCATAGCATCCCACGGAACAGAAGCTGAACAGCCTATTTGCACTTCAGCGCTTGTTTTCTGGTCTTCAAATCACACCGTTCTTGGCCCTGCTGTTTTCTGGCCGGCCTTTTAGGGGCCGATTCACGGGAGCTTCACATAATTTTGCCTATTCCTTTTCGTGCATGTTTTGTTTTTCTCCCCCGCTGGAGGCTTTGATGTGGGCGCTGATCCTCCTTTTCTTCATCATCTACATTGCTTCTGCGCCTCGGCAGGCAGATTGCGTGCGTCGCTCGTGAATACCAGCAGTTTGGACAACTACGGGTAGTGTTGCATACATAAGAGCGCCAAAGTGCTGCGGGAGGTCACAAAATCATGGCCCTTCTCTCCGTTTCTGCGGGTTAAAGGTGGCACAAGGCACCAGGGTCCCTGGGCTATGCTTCTCAATAGATGCTGGCATTCTGGAAGCCTATGTGCCATCCAGGTTACTGACAGTCCGGTTGAAGTGGACGTATCGGGCATAACCTGCTGAAATACTCAACATGCGGGGAACGTGTTCTCAAAACCGCCTCTGCGGAGTGGACGAAGCAGGATCGAATGCAGCAAAATAGGTGGGTGTCCCTTTTTTTGTTTCTCTTTAGGAGAAGGGTACCCTGTAAAAACAGACACACCCACGTGGTCAGCCGACTGATGTTGGCGCATTGCTATTGCTCCACGTTAAATGCCGAGTTGAGCAAGGCGCGAGCGATGTTCTCGCCTCTTCACGGTTTTGCATATTTCCAGCACGCGGTTTCCTGCCTCGAATCAGACCAACCACCATATTCACATTGAGCATCACTGAGCTCTGCAGCTTGTATCGAGCCCTGGGTTCCATGTGAGAGAGTTTGGCACTCGTCTTCCAAGGCGGCATCCCCCCCCCTTATGAAGGCTGCGATCAAAAGCAGTACGCACAACAGTTTGTTTATTTGACCTGACTTGACTCACATGGCCGTGTCTGGATACGTCAAATACTTTGGCAGCTCCTTCTTAAGAATCATCGAACAAGTCGGGATCAATGCTTGTGACACATCCTGATCCATCCTTCGCGCCGGAAGTCTGTTGCCTTGTTGGTCGTTGCAAGAACTCCTTTATTGAAGGAGCTATGAACAGGATTCGTGGAAGCGCAGTGAAGCTCGCAGGACTTTGTGGCAGGATGGACCTTGGCAATGTATTGATCAAGCACAGCACCCACCCTAACACACCCACAAGATCAGAGTGGAACAGAACTGGAGACATACCCCTTACACAACCGGTATATAACCTCGCATACCTCCAACACGCCTATCCATGGACAAGCCTAGGTCTGCATCTTGCAGTTCGTGGGGGAGCACCTGAAAGAGAACCCCCAGGACCTTCCAAGCCCGGGCTCTCAGCGTGGGAGGTGTCCTCAGGTCAGCTGTCAGATTTCCACTGAGTTTGGTTGACGACAGTTCCCCGTTGTAGCTGATGTGTTTGAGTCAGTTTGGCTAGCAGAAGGAGTTTTTGGGTGTCAGTTTAACAGCTTGGTCCCAGTTGTTCTAAGGCTGGGTCCAGTCTTTAAGCGGCCAAACTGATGGCGCACACAGGTTTCGCACGCAAAGCGCACTGGGAGATGCTGCATGATCGCTGGCCTCGGCCTCTTTTGTGGGGCTTCTCAAAATAGTGGATTTCCCTTGAAATACCAACCAACACGGGGTCCACAAGTTTGAGCGTGAACACTCTGATTGTTTTGGGTGCCCCGCTTTGCACCACGCAGGGTATTGCGGGCTCAACCTCGCAAGTACTTAAGAGTTGGATCTTGTTGGAGCAAAAGCTGGTGATGTTCGAGCTGCCAACGATGGATCACCTTGTACTTGAAGGCTTATGCGTTGTTGATTTGTGTGGTCTGAGACATCACAGTTGTAATTAGAGTCTCTTGTAAACCGGTTTGAACTGAAATGAATGTTCATGAACGATTTACGGAAGCATGTGTTCTCAAATCAGGCATCAATGAAGCTAGTTGTCTTGCTCGTAAACAGCCAGTTTCGTATACCAGGCGATATATCAGTATTTCGTGATGTACAGCACGCCTTTGTTGCATGTGCGATTGGGTCCAGGTGGCCCACTGGAATTCGCCGGGCTCTCGCCCTTCTCGTCGCTGCGCCGCCCTCAGGGGCCAAGAAAGAGCAGGCGGCAGATAGGGAGAGGCTGCGAAGCAGAGAGAGCCCTAAAATCGACAGAACAAAGTTGGTACCCTTATTCTAACCTCTCTACTGGAGGACCTAGGAGAGAGAGAGAGAGAGAGAGAGGGGGAAAGAGAGAGAGAGAGGGAGAGAGAGAGCGCGACATGTGAAGATGTACCAAGGGCAACATCCTGCTTCACGCTGTTCCTGCTACCTGGCATGAACTCGGATTCCCTGTGGCCAGGCATACTGCTCTATCCGCATTTCTTTGGTTTGTTGCTGTTGTCCGTTGTTCATTTAAGCTTAGGCTAGAAGCAGCCAAGAACCATGTTTGGTTTGCAGGCATGCTGAGATGCAAGGGCAAACTGGGGGACACATGGCTGCTGTACAAAGAACGCATCGCGGCAACCAGGCCAAAAACTGAACTGAACTTGAGTGTGTCACTGGGTACAATATGAACCGCTTATCGTAGACGTGCCCCCAACCAAGAGTTCCACCCCCTTCCAGCAATGGAAGCGAACGCAAGGTTATAGAAGACGAAAGCTTTGCTTTGGGGAAGCCCCCCATCCGTGTCCCTTAAGAGCCAACCGCAAAAGCCGCCCAAGTGGCCAGTGGCGCCCTTTTCTCCCTTGTTTGGTGGGCTCCCCAAAACAATGAACCCCACAAAGAAATGGTCTCCTTTGTCTGCCAGCGTGGCAGGGCAATTCCCCCGAAAGAACCATCTCTGCACTTTGCCATGGCAAACAACTGGTCAGATGGAAACCCCCAAAAAGAACACAAGGATTTTGGGTCCCCCCTTTTTTGAGACCAACACAAACACAAGGATTTCTGGGTCCCCATTCTTTTTGAGCCAACCCCATCGGTTCTTTCCGGCAGACCTTGGTCTTTTCCGATCGGTATCAACTCAGGACTATCTCCGGGGGCATCAGCTGGGGGGAGCTGGCGCCGCCGTTGATGGCGGTGAACCCTTTGCTCACCCCGGTGCTCACACTCTACGTGGCCTTGGCCATGTCGCTCGAGCCCAGTCGGGATGTGAGGTGGATATGCTTTTTTTGTGTGTGTTGTTGCCTTTGGTTTGGAGGGTGGCTGAAACCCTTGTGGTCTTTTTTTGAGGATACCCGCTTTGGCGTTGGTTTTTGTCGGGAGACCCAAAAGAAAGCCATGTTTGGTGGTTCCCTAAAAGGCATAGCCCTTTAAAATCCACCAGCAACAAAACGGAGGGTGCCGATCAAACAGAGCCAAGTTCTGGAGTTTGATTTTGTGAGGGTACCCACGCAGGGTGTGTTTGTGCATGTTACAGGGGAAACCCTGTTTTTAGAGAGAAGCCAAAAGGAAAACAGCCAGTTTACGGGGTCCCCTACAGAAAGACCAAAGGAACAACTACAAGTTTTAAGTGTTGTTGTTCAAAGCTACCAAGGGGAGCCAAGATGGGTCCCTAGGAAGTGCGCACAGGGTATTGAAGTTGCGGCTACAGGTTGCCAACATTAGAAGCGATCGTGCGAAAGGCTCAGGGTTGAGGCTGTGGGAGTTGAGTCTCAGACTTTAGTTGGGCAGCACATCGGTTGAGGGCGTTGCACCTTTGCGTCGCGACCGAAGACGTAAGCTGATTTGATGTGTGCTGCGCATGTGGCTGCATCTCAACACAAGCCACAAGGCTTTGCAACAGGCTTACGCTTTGCTTTTAAGCTTGACTAAGAGCAACAATGAGCTGTACCATCAGTGTTGCATGCTGGCCTGAACTTGCATGCTGCCCCGATGTCGCCTCGATGTCGATATGGCCTGAGGTTTTGCGTTCTCAACATTGCCAGGGCCTGAGTTATAACCTACTGAACGCTCGGAGAATGTCAGCTACCTCTCCAGTTTTGGAGCTTAACTCCCTTATGGCACCGCAGATTGGTATGCATGTGTGTGTGTGTGTGTGTGTGTGTGCTGCTTGAGTGTTCATGTGAGCTTCGGGGGAAGAAAGTCATTTCCACCCCATGCCTCAGGTTTGATTGCATGGCGAGCTGTCTCGGCTGTCAGTTGCACGTGCCACGCACTGCAATCCCCTTCCCCTCAGCAAACATGTGTCAAGACCGCCGCTGGACATCAAAGAATCCCGCCCAGCTTGAAAGCCAGAGCTTCCCTCGCTTGGCCCTCCATTCTCAACCAAAGCTGCCATGTACACCCCACCTCCAACAAGCTGCCATGTACACCCCACCTCTGTTCAGGGTGGATGTTACCCCCACCTCCAACAGGGGTCCCTATATTTCCCTTTTTGGTGGTTTTAAACATCACCTTTTTGGTCCATGGAAGGTGAGTATCCCTTGGTGGGGGTGATGTTTTAAGGGGAATTATAGGGAGCCCTGTCCGACACACTTCTGGTTTCAATGTGTTTCTTCGAGGGCTCAAGCCTCAAATCAAGAAATCAAGCTCAAGTCCACCTATTCACAGGAGGTCCGTGAAATTTGCAACGCAAAAATGCCGTGAATCTGAATGGGAAACATCCTCCATAATCGTTGCTGAACATACAAAGTATCCCCATTCAATTTGCTACCCCCAACCCAACCCAAAAAAACACAACAAGGTCGTCCTCCCCAAAAAAGACGGGGGCTTCCTTTCTTTCTTCCAGGGTCACGGGTTGTAACCCGGGCCACCCCCTCTCACCCCCAGCGATCCCCCGCTTCCCGCTTGCAACGCGCCATGCTGAAGCTCCCCGAGAGCGACATCCCCAGCGAGGGCGCGCGCCCGGAGGTGCCGGAAAGTCCCCACGCCTTCTCCCCCATGGAGGCGGATGGCTTTGAGCGCGGAGGTTTTGGGGGGCCGCTACGGGGAGGGCTACGGGAGGCGGATGTTGGGCGCTGGATTCGAAACCGGAGGTTGCGGGGTTCGGCCCGGGGCTCGCTCCGAAAGGCTTGGTGGAAGAAGGGAGGTTTGAACCTGCCTTTGAAATGAAGAGGTGTTCTTTTTGTTGGTTTTGAAGGGACTCGATTTTACTGCTGAACATGGTTTCTCATGTTTCCCCTGGGGGCTTAAGCGCATGGGAGTTTTGGGGTTTGGGGGTCCGAAGGTTGGTGTTGGTTCTTTTTGGTGTTCAAACAATTTGTGAGGGACCTCTTTGTTGAGACAAATTCGGGGAAGGTTGGGTTGGGGGTTGGTCTGTTGGTCGGGGGAGATGCAGGCTTAGTCGCAAATGTGTTACGGCATCCACCAGACCCCGGTTTTTTAAATGGGCGTGTCTTCTTTTCAGGGCCCACTGGTAGCTTTCCTTGCGGTTTCCCTTTCAAACCAAAAAAGAGGTGCCCTCAAATGGACACTCCCAAATGATTTGTTTGAACCTGTGGGTTTTTTGCACGTGGTCGGAAGCCTTTTGGACCGCCCGCGCTTCGCCCGGCCTTTGCCTACAGGGGGGGGGAGTGCTGGACTTGGCGCGGGGAGTTTTTGAGCGGAGAAGGAGGAAAATGGGGCTCAAAGACAAGTCTAAACCATTCCAGTCATGCCAACCATTGAGCATTGACGAAACAAGTTGACAAGTGGAACAGACTCAGAAAGCCCCAGCCTTTGTTTGAAGGGCCCTTAAGTTTTGGTCTGAAATCTGGGGCCCACAACTTGAGCTGTGTTTACGAGAAACTCCCAAACTGGCTCCATTCAAGTGATTGCTCCCGAAATGATGGACATGGAAAACACCGGGTCCCACAGGACATTTCGAGAACCGGTTCCTCAAAGCTTTGAGCCCATTTCCCGTTTTGGAAAGTAGCAATTTCAATCAGAACTCAAAGAAGCGAGACACCCAACTGGACCACTGGAGCACATTTTCTTTGGTGCATTTTGCTTGGATGTTTCGCCAACTAGTGGGTTTTCCACTAAACCACTAAAAGTTATTTACTTTTTGCAGGGCTTCGCAGAGTTCGCCACCGAGCTTTGTTCCACCAAACATCCAGCGACCTCTGACCTCGGATCCCGCCTCGCTCCAAAAGCCCGGCAGAACCGCCTGGACCGGGAGCCGGGGGCCTTCTTCGGTCAGCCCGCGCACCTGGAGACCCCGCAGCCGGGCGCTGCGTCCCGGCTGGCGCTGCCCAGCCCCGGCGCCATCTTGGAAGAGAAGCGCCTCGAAGAGACGTCTCGGGTCGTTTGTGTCTTCTTCTTTTTTTGAGAGTAGTTCATCCCCCCCCCAAAAAAAAAGAACGGGAGAGGTGTCCCGGTTGGTTGTTTTTTGCCCGAAAAATAGAGGGCGATTCCTGGTTTACCTGGTGATTTAATCATCTACCAGGGCAGAGGCGGGTCATTATTCTAGGGGTTGATTCCTTTTCCATTCTTTCCAACCATCGTTCTTTTCAAAAACCGATCGCTGTTTCCTCTTCTGATGGTTTTGAAAAGAAGGATCCCTGGAAAGAATGGGGAAGTGTCCCCAAGACAAACGTGTTGGGTCGGTTGCTGTGCTTTTTTTGGGTAGTTAACCCCCCCCCCCCAAAAAAAAAAGGCAAAAAGAAAGATCGAAAGATGGTTTTCATGTCGGTTTCCCAACCGTTTTCTTCCTTTTGCGAGGGTACCCCCTACTCCCAAAAACGGATGGTTTTCCTGGTGGCTTCTCTCAAGAAAAACAACCAAGAAGTGGGTCCTAAAGGAAGGACACACCCGTTTGATGAGTTGGAGGGTGAGATGACTGCGAATTCCCGGAAGGTGAACAGGGTGTTTTGGAATTGGTACCCTGTTCATCCTTGGCTTGAGAAAAGGAAAGGAACACCACCATTTCGGGTCCCCCCATTGCGACACATTCTCGTTTAGACCCCTGCCAATTCACGGTCCATTCATTTCCCAAAGAGCTCCATGTCCCAACCTCCAAAAACGAAAGCATCTGTAGGGGATTGGCCTGGGAAACATCAAATTTCGGTTCCTGTACCAATACGAAGGGAGAGGTTGGAGGGCGTGCTGCGAGACGCTACAAACTTATATGTGGGATGTTTCTTGCAAGTATTATCGTATGTATTGCTTGTTTTTTGTGCACTGCCGAGCTCGCCTCAAAATGTTTGCAGTGACTTCTATTCTGGGTGTAAGACAAAAACCCTGGTGTTAGCATGATTGTACTTTGTGGGTGGACGGGTGTAAATTGATCTTCTGGGACAGAAAAACACCGCAGGCCTTTGGCGGATTCTTCATTCGACGCCAAGAGGTAAATGACGAAGGACGCTAAGATTAGGGTCCTTGAGTTTCTGAGGGGTGTCCAAAAATGCACTTGCGCGGTATCATAGAAAGTTTCGAACCTTGTGATAATCCTGGGTGATATCCCCAACAGCAACCCCAGCTTACTTGGGGTGCAGCCGGTGACCTCTTCGATAGAACAAGAGAACCCCTCTTTCTTTGTTTTTTCCTTCTTTTTTTTGGGGGGGGGGGGGGGGTGAAATTTGAAATGGAACCTCCAAACAAACAAGGGGAACGGTGTGGCATAGTCAACCAACTCCGAATCTGTGAGTCATGCTTCCGTAGCCCCAATGCAAAACTCTAACTCCGCGGGAACACTATACCAAGCGCAACCCTGGAAGCCATGAGAGATGGGTGGCCAGTTTGTAGGTCTCATGTGGCATTCGCCACATGCAACACTTTTCTTTTTTGCTTGGGACGTTTTGGATTTTTGTCGCCTTAAAAGAAGCTCCCCGCAAATGCCGTCAAAATTTCATTGGCGTGAAGCAAGTTGGTTTCATGGAAGGCCGCGTGTCATGGTCGTCATTGTCGTCCAGATCACCATTTCCCTCCCTTCTTGCTGATCTCCAAGATCAATCCCCTTCAAACAAAAACATGGCCATGGCAAACCTAGAACCTCAACCCCGAGCTAAACCCACCCAAACCTACAAAGCCCCCAAAGCCATGCGTATTTTTGTGAGCTTTTTCTAAACCACCCAAACCTACAAAGCCCCAAAGACGTACCACCCAAACCCACAAGGCCCGAAACACGACATGGTCTTCTCCATGCCGCGCCTTCTTTTTCTTCTCCGCTCCGAGGCTGTCCCGGCCCACCTCCCTGGACGTGACGGAGGCCACAGAGACCTGGCCACCCACTCCCAGCTCCCCGAAGACGAAGGCCACCTCTCCAGGCAACGGAAGTTGAGGGCGGAGGGAGGGGTTGGGAGGGGAAGAACGAAGCCAAGAAAGGCGAGCTTCAAAAAAACGGTGGCCCAAAAGGCTACCCTCAACCACGCCAAGAGTCATCTAGGGGTTGATGTCTGCTTCTTTTCAACCGTCGTTCTTTCCAAAAGCCGGCCGTTGTCCCTGGGTTTCCGGAGGTCTTCTAGAAAGATTCGGATCCCTGGAAAGAATGCCCCTAGAGAAACCAGCGAACCTGTGGTGGGGGGGTACGTTTAGGTTGAAAACCCCCTGTACGAGTACACTGATACCTGTCGAGGGCAACAAAAATGCTGTTGCGATAGGTACCATCCAAGGTGGTGGTTTCCTTTAAGGGGACCACAGCCTGGGTTCATTCCCTCATTCCTTACCTATCGCACCAGCAAGATGAAACCAGCGAACCAGGAATTTCTGCAGGAAGGAGGTCAAGTACACACCAAACACCAGAAATGTCCTGGTTTCTTGGAGGGGAGGATTCGGGGGCGACAAAATATTGAGGCGCGCCGGAGCTGCTGATTACAACATGGTTAGTGTATGTGTACACTGTGTTTTTTTTTTACTTGTCCATTGTCGTTTCCGCAGGTTTTGGCCATTTCCCGCAAGAACGGTACAATAATTTTGGAAGCAGCTTCTTTGACGCAGGTGACATTCAAGAAATGGGTTGATCAGTGGCTCTATCTCAATCTGACTGGGCCAGGAGCGGCGTACCATTCCCTTGCTCCCGCGCTCGTTCTTTTTTTGTTGGGCGCACCCTTAAGCCTCCAAAAGCGGAACTAGGTGTTTGTCTATGAAGCAAACAAAACCAACACACTGCCACAGGGTCTTGGGTTCTCCAAGGGGAACTCCCAATAAGTGTTCTCCCCTTGATTCTCCTTGCGCTGGCAAAAAGGGCACCCTTACAAAAGACAAATTCATGTCATCATTTTAAGGTCCCTAGAATATGTCCATGTTGAAAAAGTAAGGGTATGGACGGTCAAAACTAGCATACCTCCCCCATGGTTGACTTCCGCGTGTGTATTCCTCGGCCAAGGGCAATGATCTACTCCGGGGTTGAAGTATATTTGCAATCGGGTCAGACACCCCCCCCATATTGTTAAAAAGCCTGCAAATACTGGGATACCCCTTTTATCCATTGCAAGAGTTTGCCGATTCACAGTACTTCAAGCCTTCAGTACTTGTACTTTGTGAGCTTCAACAGTCTTTGCTCGAGGGTCAGATAGGCAAAACCCAACCCCCCCCCTAACAACCCCCCCAAACCTCCCAAACCTCCTCAACCTCCTCAACCCCCCCAACCCTGGAAACAAAATCGATTGGCTCTTAGCCTCTGGTGTTCGTTGACATTGGGCGAAGAGTCTTATTTGTCCTTGTTGGTCCTCAACCCTCCTGAACTCCCTCAGCAACCCCCCCCCCCAACCTCCCCTCATCCCCAAACCCCTCCTCATATAAATAAATAAATAAATAAATAAATATATATATATATATAAATAAATATATATAGAAGTAAAAACACATAAATAAGAAGAACGCAATAATAAAACAAAAAAAAATAAATACAAAAAGAAAAAAGACAAATAAAAGCCAGGCAAAGAGCCCGCGGGCTCGCGCCGGAGCCTTACCGCCTTCAGCCGGCGCCTCGCCCTGGCCACCGCCTCCGCCCCCGAGCGCCTGGCCGAGCGCCGCGGCACGATGGCTTGGAAGCAGCGGGCGGACGGCTTTGGTTGGGCAAAATGGGGGGGAGGTAAAGGGGGAGGTAAAGGGGGGGGGTTGAGGGCGGGGGGGGTTGAGGGGGGGGTTGAGGGGGGGGGTTGAGGGGGGTTAAGGGGGGGTTAAGGGGGGGTTAAGGGGAGGTAAAGGGGGGGTAGGGGGGGTTAAGGGGGGTTGAGTTGGTTCCTGCACTTATAATATGAATCATAAACAAATTAGATGCAAATATATATATATATATATATATGAATATTGCGGGTGTGGGACAAGACCAAACAATGACAGCTATGTCTGTTCTCACTATTTGTTTTAGAAAAAAGGCTCCAAAGCGCAGAGATCCGCAGTTTGGTTGGGGGTGTTTTGGTGGCAGCAACTACGCCAGGTCGGTTGTCAGGGTAAATATTTGAAGAAGAAACTTGTTTATTGTGGGAACAAAACATTTTTGCAAAAGAACAGCCACCCAACAATGTGCTTGCACGCCCTATTTCGACATACCAAATTGGTCTCAGAACCATCCTGATGGCGTGTTGCACAATTGATGTTCAGATGTTTGGTTTCAGACGCTCAAAGTGGTTGCATGTTGAGGGGTTCTAAACTTGGTTTGCAGGGTGGGCATTCAATTCGCCATTTAGAGAGTATTTTTGCGGATGTCACTTTTCTGGACCCAGACATATCACAACTTGCACATTGCAATGGTTGGTTTCAGACGCAACTCATTGTTTGCCCAGGAGCAACAGTCACAGCACCAGGTGTACTGACCGGCATCACCACCCATTGACCAAAGGCTCTCCTAAATGCCAGTTTGCAACTGTTATTCAACGATTGGTCAAAACGCTATCCGTACAATGCAACCATATAATGCAGCTATAGCAGTGTATATGATTGTATTTGTGTATCCGAAGCCTTTTTCTTGGACTTACCAGTAGACTAGGAAGGCCACTCGAGAATGTTTCGGGGGATGAGTAAAGAGAGGACCAAAAGGACAACCGCCCCAAAAAACTGGGTTGGCACTGTGCCACGGACACTTGTCGAATGATTTTGCAGAGTCACGCCCCAAAAAACCAATCTCCTACATGAAGCGTTCAGTGTCCATCACTAGGTCCCCAGTAGTGTCCTCACTAGTGCCCCAGTATGCCGGGGGTTCCCGCCCTCGTAGACGAACCGATGTCGAGGAAGCTGATTGAGCAGCTGCGGCAGAGTTGCTTGGATGAGGCAAACCTCGGCGCCTTGGCGTAGCCATGGCGTTGGCTTTGCAAGGGGAGGCCCCAGAAAGGCGGTGGTACCTGGATTTAACCGACGTTTGAATGGGAGTTTGGCCGAAAAAGTGGTTTAAGCAAGCTTTAAACTGGCGTTGGGACAAAGTTTGGTGATCAGTGGGGAATGAGGTGAGTACAATTCTTGGTTGAGGTGATAGAATACCGACTGGCGTTGCTTGTTTCAGCCAGGTGTTGCTTGGCTTTCCGATCCCACCTGGGAATGCAAAGAGTTTGTCCCACCGACACGTAAAATTTCGCACCCAGTCATGTTTAGCGCTGTTTCCCTGGAGAATGTGCTAGCATGTTTTCGAGCTGCCCTGGGATCCCTGACCACTGCCAGGCAAGGGCGCTGATCAGAGTGGTGCATCACAGTTGGGCCTGGGAGGATCGTCATGTGGCTCTTGGAAGGGTTGACAAAAAGAGGGTCCTGTTTTGGTATCCCCTTGCACAGGCGGTACAAGGAATCACCAGGCTCTGAAAAGATCATTTTTGTTTGACCTATCTCCATGTGAGATTGGCCTGGTATGTCGATTTGCCACCCGTTTCAACATCCGGCATAAGGAGCTTGCCCATGTTGGCACGCACATCAATTGGTAATTTCAGGCTGGGCCTCACGCATTGGTGAAGCGGAGCCTGTTTCCACAGAAGGGCGGCACAGAGCCTTGATTTCCAACCCAGGTCAAGGCGATTCTAGCATGACGTTTGGGGGGAAGCCTGCCTTCCAGGATCATGTCCCAAAGAATGAAACAGGGCCCCTACAGGGCCAGGTGCGCTTTTGGATGGGTAACGCAAAACAGCATTGGATGGTTTTGCGAGTTGGCTAACTGGACAGCAACCTCAACAAGGCTTTACAGGAGTCCTAGTGCGTGGTAGCAAGCACCTCGCTGCAGAAACCAGCTACATCATGTTCTGCAGAGAATTGGCAAAAAAAGCACCCACAACAACCATGTTTTCCAGCAGCAGTTCTTGTAGCTTTCTTTCCAGACCTGAGGCAAGAACATGTGTACCTGGGATGGCACTCTTCCGGGCAGCCGGCGCTTTAGCTCCCAGGCGAGGTGTGCCAATTCGGATGTTCCACCGACCTGGGGCGAGTAGGTTGTACCTCCTCCCATTAACATAGCAGTTGTGGGTACCTAGAAGATCAGCTTGCTCTTCAAGGGACTCTCAGGTGCCATGTTAGGGAGGGAGAGTATACCTCTAGGGGTTGATTCCCCTTTGTTCTTTTCAAATGGATTCCGGAGGTTTTCTAGAAAGAAGGAGCCCTGGAAAGAGTTGGGAAGGTACCCCTAGAATAACCGTGCTTAGTGCTGGCTTATTACTAGGACAACTGTGTGTTGGTGACTACACTCCCTTGTTTGTGCTTGGCATCTTCTGTGGCAAGGGAGATTACAAGAAGGCGCGAAATGGCCAGGTACCCTCTGTAGAAGGCACACAATCTCGTGTACGTTGGGGGAGAGAGAGCGATCCAGCAGCTGCCTACACATCACGGGGTGATTTCGGGTGTCATATTTCAGGAAGCCTTGTTTCGGGAATAGGATTTTGCAGTAAAAATGCCCTGCCACACGCAATTATTTCTATTGCAATGATCAACTGTTCAGTGGCGTTTTTTTTGGATTGCACTTCCAACAGCTAAAAGTGGAAGTTCGAAGGTGCCTATTGAAATCTGGGACTATTGAAGGGGGTCCCATCGAAGCCAAACTGGTCAATGGCGGTTGTGAAATGTTCTGGGTGCTTGGTTTAGGTCCATGCCAGCTTGCTGAATTGGCATCCCGAGCGGATCGCAGCAAGCTTGAACTCTGCGTATCCTTGTCTCGTGGTTTTGCGTGGTTTTATGGCTTCTCAGCGGGATTTGCCTCATCAAGCGCCGAGCAAGGCTGGGCCCTTTGTGGTGAACATGTTGAGGGGTGCTCACCGTCACGCTAGGTTCCGGCGTTTTTTTCTTTGAGCCACCATTTGCGCAGAGTGGGGAGGTGTCCAAATCGTTGATTGCCATTTAAAGGCTGGGTTTGAGGCTTTTACGTGCATGGCAATTCCATTTGTTGTTGAATTCGCTAGACGTAAGCCCGGCCCCTCTTGGCAAATCAGGTTCTGGGACCAGAAGTGTAACCCCAAAAAAAGGATGTTTGACAAGAACCAACACCCCTGCCCTTTTTTCGGACCCAGAAAACTTCGACGGGGACTCTTCCCGCGGCGAGTTTCAGGTGGCGCAGGCCTTGGCCGGGCAGCTGCAGGAGGTGGGCTTCGCCTCGGTGGAGTGGTGGGCCGGCAAGGACGCAGCGGGTGTATCGCTTCATCTAGTGGGTGGATTAAGTGTATTACTATATCACCAGAATTTGACTAACATTGACCCCAGACTAGGATTGGCGGCATATTGGGGTTACATGAGAATTGAGGCATAAGGTCAAGGTATGAGATTAGGGTAGTATGATCTGGGTGGGGGGGATTTGGGGTACCCCTGGCAGCCCTAAAGTGGGTGAGGTCTGAAACACGGATTGCAAATCTGTTCGTGTGTGTGTGTGTGTGTCAAAGGGGTGCCCCCAAAAATTGATTTCGGCTTTCCGTTTCGGTAGGTGTGTGTGGATTTTAGTTGGGGACTCTCGTGGACGTAGTTTTGGCGGGGTTTCATGCCCGCCAACTTGTAAGGTGGTTCCCTATTAAATTTGATGTGCGTTTTGTAAAGTCCGGAGTAATATGGGTGTGTGTGTGTGTGTCAAAGGGGTGCCCCCAAAAATTGATTTCGGCTTTCCGTTTCGGTAGGTGTGTGTGGATTTTAGTTGGGGACTCTCGTGGACGTAGTTTTGGCGGGGTTTCATGCCCGCCAACTTGTAAGGTGGTTCCCTATTAAATTTGATGTGCGTTTTGTAAAGTCCGGAGTAATATGGGTGTGTGTGTGTGTGTCAAAGGGGTGCCCCCAAAAATTGATTTCGGCTTTCCGTTTCGGTAGGTGTGTGTGGATTTTAGTTGGGGACTCTCGTGGACGTAGTTTTGGCGGGGTTTCATGCCCGCCAACTTGTAAGGTGGTTCCCTATTAAATTTGATGTGCGTTTTGTAAAGTCCGGAGTAATATGGGTGTGTGTGTGTGTGTGTGTCAAAGGGGTGCCCCCAAAAATTGATTTCGGCTTTCCGTTTCGGTAGGTGTGTGTGGATTTTAGTTGGGGACTCTCGTGGACGTAGTTTTGGCGGGGTTTCATGCCCGCCAACTTGTAAGGTGGTTCCCTATTAAAATTGATGTGCGTTTTGTAAAGTCCGGAGTAATATGGGTTTGTGTGTGTGTGTGTGTCAAAGGGGTGCCCCCAAAAATTGATTTCGGCTTTCCGTTTCGGTAGGTGTGTGTGGATTTTAGTTGGGGACTCTCGTGGACGTAGTTTTGGTGGGGTTTCATGCCCGCCAACTTGTAAGGTGGTTCCCTATTAAAATTGATGTGCGTTTTGTAAAGTCCGGAGTAATATGGGTGTGTGTGTGTGTGTGTGTCAAAGGGGTGCCCCCAAAAATTGATTTCGGCTTTCCGTTTCGGTAGGTGTGTGTGGATTTTAGTTGCGGACACTCGTGGACGTAGTTTTGGCGGGGTTTCATGCCCGCCAACTTGTAAGGTGGTTCCCTATTAAATTTGATGTGTGTTTTGTAAAGTCCGGAGTAATATGGGTGTGTGTGTGTGTTTGTTTTTTCTCCCGAGGGGCCTACAACATGTGGGCTTCGGTTTGTTCGGGGTACCTTTGTACCCCTGGCGAACACACCATTTGTTGGGTCCCTCTATTTCGACACACACACACATGGGGTCTCATCCAAAACTGTGTTGTTGCTTTTTTTTAATATATTTTAGGCGGCTAGAGCTGACATGTCACAGAGTCATAAAACGCTAGTTTCTGTGTACCCAAGATGGGCCCAGTAGGATAAAGCCTTGTCAGAATCCCCCCAAATACAATATTTCTTACCAAACAGTGTCTCACACCAGGACTTCCCTTTCAAACAAGCTGAAAAAAGGGTACCCTCAAAAAGCGCGCGCACAGAAATCGACTCCAAGCGTCCACCAAAATCGCAGGAGTCCTTCCCCCTTAGGGCACCCTCAATATTAACACACACAAACCCAAATAGGCTCCAAGCGCCTTTGGCCACATCGCAGGAGTTCAAAGACACCGGGGGCAAGTACTTGGTCATCCACAACGCCATGTACGACAAGTACACCGTGCGCTTGCGGGTGAAGTGGTCTCATGAGGTGCAGCTTCAGCAGCAGCGGGCGATTCCGAGACCACGGCTGGAGGGGCCGGTGTTGAGCATTCTGAGTCTTGGCGCACGTTCAGCCGGTGTGTTCATTTTTTGAACTTGGTGGTTTCGGGGGCATCCCCTGAGCTTTTTAGTGGGGGGTCCCATGTAACCCACTAAAAGTCAAACTTTTGGCAGGGGATCTGAGGACAGCCCAGTGAAGCCAAGCCAGAGCGAAGATTTCTTCAAGTTCGATGAAGGTTCCTTGCGTGTTTCGGTTCTGTGAGTTCCGGTTGCCGCGCCATGTCTTTCAAAGTCCCATCATAAGTTGCATCACCCTCATCAAGTATTGATGATATTTTTTCTGGTTCAGGGACATGATCATGACCACGGCACACACAGCACCAATGGGCGATTCCACATGAATGTTCAACTCACTAAGTATATTGTAGCCATGGTTTAAGGAAGCTATCCTTTGCCACCCACTTAAGTAGGCACACACAATCAGCCAGTCGCTGATTGAATTCCCCATATCCTTCACGGGCAACCTTAGTTTTCGGGCCGCCACCAAAGACGGTTTTAGACCACCACAGAGCACGGACACCTTCAATAGTTCTTTTGGCCGCTTCCGGTTTTACAAAGCTGCGGGAGGGAGGTGCTGATATGTTTCAGGCTAGTTCTAAGGAAAGGAGACTCACCAATTTCCATGCCCTTCATGGGAATCAATTGGGTAGCTTTGACCTTGCCTTCGATTTCCGAGGAAACAGCTGCCAAAAATCGCCAGCCACACTCATTCTACCATACTCACAAGACACACTATATAGGTACTCTAAGACACCCCAAGGCCGGTTCTGAGGAACCACCACCAGCTCACTTGCCAAAAGCCGACCTTTTGACCTTATACTTGTACCTTGTTGGTCCATTTGTAGTGTCCCAGGTCAGCCTTGGATTTTGGGTCCCCAAAGCGAAAGTCTTCCTTTTCAGCACCTTTCACCCACAGATTCCCAGCGGGTTCCTTTCAGAACCACCTTTCAGCCCGTTTTGTATTGTTCTTCCACCTTTCGGCGTTGGATGGGTGTCTTCAAATTGGGTTTCCCAAATCGGTGGGTGTTCCTTATGTTTTCCTTTAAGAACCGTCCCACTTGGTTTTCCTTTTGGTTTTACCCGTTACCTCCCCAGTCTCTTCGTGGGTGGGTCTCCAAAAACTTGCTGGTGCTCAGCAGGCAATGAGAAATGGAATGACCCTTGTAGACCGTCCAATTGCTGGCTTATTTCATTGCATCCTATCACACCAGTCAAGCAACCAAACAACAACAAAAAACCGCGTCCGTCGCCAAAGCGCGCGCCCCCGCATGCGCGCGCGCGCGGGGCGGTTGGTCGGGCGAGGAGCCAGCTGCGGGAGGTCTTGGAGCTGCAGCAGCGGCTGCTGCAGCTCAAGCAGGTGGAGAAAAAGGCGGCGCTGGCGCGGGCGCAGCAGGCGGAGGCCCGGGCCGAGAAAGCGGAGCTGCAGGCGGAAGAGGCCCAGGCCAGGCCGCGGGGTGGGGGTGGGGGTGGGGTGAGGGGGGAGGGTTGGGGGGGTTGGGGGTGGGGAGGGTGGAGCAAAGTATGAAAAGTTGGGAGAGCAAAGAAGCACAGCCAGAGTCCGCAGAAAAAGAAATCCCGGCGCCGCCGAGAATTCGGCAGATCTCATTTCACAAGAGCCAGCTTACCCTAAATAGGCATTTCATGGATACAAGCTCACCAAAGCCACTTTTTGCATCATTAAGAAGGAATCCGATTTGTCAGAACTCATTCAACGGATCACCCAAATTGAGGTTTCCTTATTGGTCCATCCTGATTGGCCAATGTGTAAGTCTGTTTGTTTGCTTGAAGTAGGTTCTTTCACCCAAAGCCAGGATGGGAACTTATTTGGGGGGGGGGGGTAAAAATTAAAAAAAATGAAACAATCCTGAATAGGGTCCAACATTACAACAATGGGGACGGAGGCCATTGACTCCCGACCGAATTTTGATATTCATTGGGTCCCCGATTAAAAAAATCGCACACCCAAGCCCCTTAAACATAGGTGTCCTTTCTGGGTTTGGAACCAGATGGAGGTTTTGATTTGTGTTGCGCCCCAGTTGCCAGAGAAAACCCATGATTGTTCCAAAAGTCACCTAACAAATGCGAGATCCCAGGACCTTCACCAAATTTTGATGTACAAAAGGTCCCCCCGGGCAGAAAACACGCATGTGCACCTTACGAATGTCACTTGTTCTTCCCCCTGCAGGTTACTGTTTTCGTACTCTTTTGGTAGTTTTTTACCACCCAGAGGGTCCAATACCCTCCAAGGAGGTACTTAGACCCCTTTTTGCCCCCCAGAAGCCATCCTCAGGAGGACCTTCTGGGCCAGGTTGGCGAATCCACAGACTCCGTTTTTCTAGGGGTTGATTCCCCATTCTGTTCAGCCATCGTTCTTTTCAAAAGCAAGCCATTTTCCCCAGGGCTATTGAAGGATCCCTGCAAAGAATGGAATTGGAAGGTACCCCTAGAGTTTTGTGAAATCTTGATTGCTATTGGGTTGGATCTTTAGACTTTAACACTTTAACTTTTCGGGCAATCAAGGGGTCTTCCACTAAACCCACAGAAAGTTTAGAGCTTTTTGCAGAGTCTTGCCAACCAATGGAGGCCACGCTGGCGGAGCTGCTGCACGCGCCCACCTCCCACCACGCCGAGATCCCGGAGATGAGCCTTCGGGAGATCGCCGGGATGTGAGACTACGGCCGGTCGGTTCAGGCGGTTGGCCGGCCGGGGGGAGTCCATGCGGCTTTTGTGGAGCCATGGGAAAGGTGTTTTTGTTCTTTTCTTTGTTTTTCCGGACGAAAGGAGTACTACAGCAAGAGTGTTCTGCAAATTCAGATGGGGAGCACCCACGAACGAGGTCCCATTTTGCAAAAGGAGAGGATCCTAATCCTGGTGGGTTTTTCAGGGCCCATGTTGGTCCGCAAGAGTGTAAATCGGACTCACACGGACTAGAACAGAGCTCCGCAAAAGGCGCATCGAATCCAATCCGTCGAGTGGCGTGAGGCTCCGAGCTGACGAGTCGAGCGGGGGTTTGCACTGGAAGGGAGACATTGCTTTTGGAGTCTCCCCTTGGGCAAATGGACCCTCGCATTTTGTTGGGTTGCATCTCAATCTGCAGATACCTGGAATGAGCATGAAATAGCCCC